GAGAATGACAAACATAGGTGTGCTGCATAAAATGTTCTTCGTATACTCCTTGAAAGTCTTTGGAATAGAATCTCACTTGATAAGTCACCATTAAATTGTAACTTAATAAATAGAGGTTTTTTTACGTGCAGTCAGAGTCTCCGGTTTTTTCTCCGATATTTTCATATGTTTTTTTATGAAGCTACTCGGATAGCCCATCTCCATCAAGGAATCGTGAATATATTCAAATTCCTTTTATACGAGGTCATATATCTTTCTTGCTCCGCTCGCAAGACATTTTACAACATTCCTTTTATATTTAATGGGCACGTAACTAAGGAAGTGTGTGTATTGCCCTGTGAAAGTGCTTTTTCTATACACGCTTCTCCCAAGTGACCCATCTTCTCTCCTACTTAGTAAGACATCCAGGAAATGTAGTTCATTCTCCTGCTCCTCTTCACAAGTAAAGGTAAGCGAAGGGTAGATGTTGTTGAATTTCAGCAACAATTCATCTATGTTAACATTCTCATCAGCTAAGATAAATGTATCATCGACATATCGGTAATACATATTAAACTCTTTGATGATGTCCTTTAATTTCCCGTTTTCAAGTTTTGCGAGAAAGAAGTCAGCTAATATTGGGCCTAATGGTGAACCCATAGCTATTCCATCTACTTGTCGATAGTATGAATTATTGAAGACATTTATTTATCGTGTAGATAATATTGATTCTGTCAGCCTACAACTTGAAACTAATCTGATGTTAAACCTGTAATTATATTATTCTACGTAAAGATGATTTTTTTCACCGTATAACCGGTTATTATTGCACTGATAACAAGTATTTTAAAACATTAATAGACAGAAGACAAGTAGTTCAGCGAAGAGTCTCTTTTCGGCGGCGAATTCATCTTCATAGCTGTACAATCGCAAATATATATGGTTGTTTTGTATGCTTGTGTACATTAAATTTGCCAAACGAAAATACAATTAGTAAGTTCAGATGAATTGGATGTTGATATAAGAGAGTAGTAACAAAAGTGATGAGTTGTCACAAACGATTGTTAAAGAAGAGTTACATAATAACATGAATAGTTTGATCAAAGAGTTGTACTCAGGGTGTACATGGAAACAAGATATACGGAATTACACAAGGGTTTTAGGTAGAAAAATAAGCATACAAACAAAAGTTAAGTCAGATCAACACAGTTGTTACCACTGGAGTAGAAGTGGTTCAACAATTTTCTCTTGTATGCACAGTTCTGGTTCCTCCAACTGAATGGCTATGGCTTCTACGATGCAAAGAATACGGAATCGTACTGTCTTTGGAAGGTTGTTCTCCACTTTATAGATTACTTTGAAGGAGGCGTTTGTTGAGATGGAATGACCATTGTTGACGAGGTGCTCTATTATTGCACTCCTTATGCAGCCATTACTTCCTTTCTGCAGCCACACTGGATAGTGTTCTTTGACCCTTTTTGATAGGATCCGCGTTAAACGACCGATGTACCTGGCTGGCCCCACAGCAACAGGTGAACTGATATATACACATAGAAGTGGTCAGGTGTGGGATCCCGCACCGATTTACAGCTATGAAAATGAATTCGCCACCGAAAAGAGACTCTTCGCTGAACTACTTGTCTTCCGTCTATTTTAAAACAAGCAACAAATGTGGTTAATAAAGCAGGATTTCATGAATTCATCAAAATTTCGATTGGAAACTCTTCAACTGCTGAATACTCTACATACTCATACCATCTGAGTCTTAACTTTACAACAGAATACATGATTAGGTTGTAAAACACCTAGGGGTGTTCAAAGCAAAGCATGGAATCAGTCTATGGAAGTGGATGTGTAAACTGTCTGAATGGAGTCTTCGGGACCTTAGGAATCATCTGCTTGATATGGCCGAAAATTGTTCTCGGTGAAGTGAATGTACTGAATTCTTATCATTCACGATGTAATTATTCTTTCTCCTATACACCTCAGTTCATTCTAGTTCCTTAGCACCATTTTTCTCTACCTTTTTGTGGTATATGAACTGTTGCAATTTGAACTGCTGCACTTCTGTGAAACTCAGGCAGAAAGTGCCTCACACCGATGTCTTCCCAGTAGCTTCACTAGACGCGTCTGTTATGCAGACCGTTGTAAACAAAATACTAATATATATATATATATATATGAATAAGGCATTTAGAATACAAATTTTGCGAGATGATATCATTTCGTAGTTTCTTTACAACCGCTTTACAACTAACATGGTTCACAATAATAAAGTAAAAGGCATGACAATTACTCAGTTATATAAAACAAAAGTACATACTAATGACCAATCATAGTTAAATAGATCAAATGCAAGGTATGCTAGGAGAATTTATGCTATATAAACGTTATGTGGATGATACTCTCATTACTGGTAATAATAGTAAGCCTATTGAAAACTTTATTACCCTATTTAATCATATTCATTCAAATATCCGAGTGACTTCCGAACTCGAATCGAATAACAAACTCGGTTTCCTGGATATTACAATGACCAGGAGAGATGATGGAACGATTCAGCGATCACCTATTTTTCGTAAACAGACATGGAGTAGACAATATCTTCATTTTACCAGTTTTGTTCCTATCCAGTATAAACGTTCCCTAGTGAAATGTTTGTTCTCAAGGGCCCGAAAAATATGCACGAGTGACACAGTGATGGATGAGATTCGACATATACATTCAGTGTTATTAGCTAATGGTTATCCGGAAAATTTTATCACTTGTCACAGTAAAGAAAGACCACATCTCGAAAAGACAGCTTCGGTACCAAAGAAAGCTATCTTTATTAACCTACCATTCAAGGGTGATCAGATTATGCAGTTGACAGCTAGCTCAAAGAATTCGGCCAGCCATCAAACGCACATTCTACGCCGCATCTCTTTTTCTCACTTGCCGAACATTTTTGATACCTGGACCCATGATCAAAGGCCCTAATTCTGTGGACTCTACTCCAAACTGTATCTACAAGTTCACCTGCAGTTGCGGTGACACACACTTATATAGGTAGGACCAACAGAATGTTCCAGTGTTGTCGGCGAAAAGAACATGTTTCAAAATGGTTATTAAAACATATAGATAATCCGAATGCAATTATTAATTTGAATAGAAATCCATCATCATCATCATCCATTGCAAAGCACTTATTAATGTCAGATCACAAAATCAATATTAATGACTGTTTCACAATTATTTCATCACATAACTCTAATTCAAGGTTATTAAAGGTGATGGAAGCACTTTGGGGATTAATCGAATGCATCCTAAACAATGTATGCAAAACACAATAGACTTCAACTTTTGCCTACCATGGCAAGTATACTTGACCTATTTAAATATGATTGGTCATTAGTATGTGCTTTTGTCTTATAGAACTGAGTAACTGTCATACATTTTATTTTATCTCATTTTTGTGAACCATGCTAGTTGTAAAGCGAATGTAGACCAACTACGAAGTGATGTCATTACCTCGCGAAATTTATCTTCTGAATGCCTTATTCATTATTATTATTGCCGTTATTTTTACCCTTCGACTTATGTCTAGCCCACCTTATTCATTGGTTTATTTTCTGTAGTATTCATATTGTCTCACACACCACTGATAACACTCACCCTCGAAACCTGTACTTTTGTTGACTATGTATTATTATTTATTATTATTGTATCCTTTAATTCCTAGAGGAACATAGGGCTTCAGCCACCCGTCTCCATTGCGTTTGGTTTTCCGCCAATGTTTTCACCTGGCTCCACGTCTGTCCACATGCTTTCACCTGCTATCTTTATGACCTCCTCCATGTCACCCTTGCACTGACGACCAACTCGCCACTTCCCTTTCGGGTTCCACTCAAGAAATGGCCTGTCTAGTGATGTCACTTGATGGCTTGTTTTCTCAGAGTATGGCAAGCCAATCCATCTCCATTTCTTCCTGCCTATTTGTTTCACAATTGGTTCCTGGTTCGTTCACTCCCAGAGATCCCTACCTGTTGCTGATCTTTTCTGGCGGGCCATCTGATCTTGAGTATTGAGCGAAGACAACTGTTAATGAAGCTCTGTAGTTTGTTTGAGGTGCTCTTTATGACGCGCAGTGCAAGCCTCTGATCCGTATAGTAGCACTGACATCACATTGGAGTTGAAAATCCGGATCTTATTTTTGATGCTGAGTGCTGTTGACCTTCACACAGACTTGAGAGTAGTGAGAGCTTGTCTTGCTTTCCTGATTCTTGCTTTGATATCCTCGTCAGTTCCGCCTGTAGTTGAAACGATGCTTCCCAGGTAGGTAAAGGAGGTTGTTTCTTTCAAGTTCCTCCTGACTATGTATATATATTATAAATTGGCAGAAGTTAGAATTCATGGGTTGGCCACTGAATTGGTTCCCACCAATGGCTTAATGGTCTACAAGCTCACCTTGTAACCAGAAGATTCAGGGTTTGGAACCATGGCGGTGTGTGCATACTGAAGAAGAGTCCCAAATTAGGATGCGACAGCTGTCCAGTACTCCTAGGTTTTCCGTTGCTTCTCTAACTGATGTCAGCTGATGATGAAATCCTCCAACCAATCAAAAGCAATCTCTACAAACCAATACTTGAAGAAGAATATATATGTCATTGAATTATTTCATCTCATTTTATCTCATGTTCTCATTGACCGTGTATATTCAACACTAACTGACTATTGTTCCATCTCATCTTATACTTGTTCCACAATACACATTTCTGATATGATTCTAATTTGCCTTTACTGACTGGCTGGCTATTGTATGCTTAAATTAATTAATGGATTTATAATTGTAGAGCCTGAAGAAGAATAATTTATCGAAAGCGACAACTGTTCGCTCTAACTATCTTTTTCCTCCTGAATAAATTATGAGAATTTTCAGGAAATTGAAATTAACAAAAATGATTTTCTCTTTTTTTTTCTGTGTCATAGATATTTTTCCCCTTGATAAAGAAGTATTCATTCGCAAATAGAAAGAATCAAATATGGCGGGAAATATAGGATTCAATTTTGGTTCATCTAATACACATGTAAGTAGATTTATTATGGTGTCTTTTCTCTATCGAATCGGTATATCACTGTATTTCCAATGTACTGTACATATCATTAAAGAATTTGATATATATTTTTAAATTTTATTCCTTTACATTCCCAGTGGAACATAGGGCTCCAAGCTAGAGCTTTGAAGTTCCGGTAGCAGTGATGTTTATTTTTAAGGGATGGGGCTGCTAGCCTCATGCCCAACCTTCCCTCTTTGCCAGTCTTATTACTGGCTTAGCAAGGTAAAGGAGTACGGATCGAACCCCGAACCACATGCGTAGTTGACGAGCGTTCTACCGCTGTGCCACCAACGCTTATAAAAGAATTACTATTGATTTAATCCAGTGATTAAATCTATTTGCGTGTAAAAGAGAAGCTTCATAGAATAGTAGACAGTGTCGTTTTTCATTCCTTAGCGTTCTGATGGGGTCATAGGGATTCAGTAGCGATAATGGTGTCTCTTTACAAGGTGAGATTGGTAGCCTGACGCTCAACCTTTTCTTTTTTGCATAATTATAGTTGGCTGGTAAACCAGGCAAAGTTTAGCAGTACTTACTTTACTTTACTTCGGCTATCTCCTACGGGAGGATGATCCGGCTTCATGAACATCTCGAATCATCGCTGCTCAGGCGCGGCGATCTGATGCAAGGTTTTGCTACAGGGTTATCCAATTCTTGTTCCACAGACGGAGTCCGTAGACGGTTTGTAGCCCCAGGCACTCCATATCAGCCTTGATTGTACCAAGCCATGTTTTCAGCTGTCCACCCCTGCGACATCGCCAAGATGGTAATGGCGAGGGATTTAGAACTGATTTGACCAGATCGTCATCTGGTCGGCGCAGAACATGGCCAAACCACCGAAGGCGACGTTGTTGGACCAGTACTGGAATTTGGTTGATGTTGTAGCAACGACGACGCATTTCTTCGTTGGAGAGTTTGTCCTGCCAACGAACATGCAGAATGTACCTGAGGCACCAATGGTCTACTACCTCGAGTCTGCGTACATCTTCCGCGCGAAGAGGTCAGGTTTCACAGCCATACAGGAGAACGGATCTATGGAGGTTGGTAGACCGAAAAGAGAGTTCATGAAGTTTCATGGGAATTTGGTACGAGTGATGTCCCCAGAATCGCTCGGCCTTTTGTTTGAGAGTGCAGCTCTAGCCTTTACACAACCAAGTGTGACCTACAAGGCAGTAGGAGTGGAGTAGGGAGTCCACTATCCATTGGCAGCCTGTGACCGGAGTTCGGTTCATACGCCTTTTTGAATGGGGCCAGACATCCAGGACATCCAACAAGCCTTTTGTTCATACGTCTGCCGGTGAGCTCAAGTGAGCTTCATACGCCAGTCGTTGGAGGTTTTGAATCAGGGTTTAGCCATCTCCCCTAGACTGTCATCCAATGGACAGTCAACCCGGTGAAGAGCGCCGGACATCCGCTTTCGCCCTCTCACTTTGGTGAAAAACACCTCCGCCACGTGAAGACAGTGAGTAGGACTTCCTTAGGAGAGGCTATGTAAGACGCCCGGTCATATGGGAGCATTTCAAGAGGTGTGCGGAGGGGTGGCCAACCCGCAGCGCAAGGCACCCACCCCCGACCATCCTGAGGCTTTGGAGGCAGTACTTTAGCTGGGAACTAAACCAGGCACTCATGCGTTGCCAGTGAGCATATCACGACTGAACCATAGAAGCATGAAAAACACTAGTCATATTTTATCCTGATTTATTTGTTTTGCTAAGTTTATCACTAATAGATTGCTGACATGGGACTACTTAGTACAATAAAAGAACGGTAAATTTTATGAATTATTAGAAGTTAATTGATGGATGATGACTGGCAGTGGAATCCAGGATGCGCATTTCGTCCCATTTAAGAGTCGTCATCTGGAGGTACCTGCATTCAGTTGCACAAGAGGAGGCTCTCGTGGCCCAAGTGGTCTAGTGGATAGCACTTTGGCGTTGGAAACAATGGGCACTGGGTGCGAGCCTCGGTGGGAACATCATCACTCACTGAGAAATGCAGGTACATCCAGATAACGAGTCCCAAATAGGACGAAATGCGCATCCTGGATTCCACTGCTAGTCACCATCCACCAATTAAATACTAATTAAATGCCCAGACATCGTCGAAGCATCTGCACAAGAAGTTGATATGTCAACCTGAGACCGAGCATTTCAGTGCAATCAATCGACGAGAAAATCTAAAATTCAATTAAAGTTATGAATTATTGTTTGAACTGAAATATTAAAAGCTCAGCCGATAAATGAGGCATTACTTCAGTTACTTATCCACTTTTGAAAACGTTCAGCACTTTACTATGCTTACTAAACTGTATTTTTCATCATAAACTTACAGCAGTCAGAGGAACATTGGGAAACCGGTACTAGAGTACTCGACATCTGTTTCAACCCAGTTTGGGACTCTTCAGCAATACGAACCCACTGAGATTCTTAACCAGGATATTCTGGTTACAAGGCGAGCTCGTAGACCAATGTCAGCTACCAGTATCTGTCCTCACACCCGGTCTGCTTTCCCCAACGGGTCACAACTTCCCATTAGAACCCAGGCAGCTACCTACTTGAATCGGACCAGTCACTGGTGATCCTCAGATTGATATTCAATTGTTGGTTTACAGGGATTTGTTTTGACTGGTTGGAGTATTTCATCATGAGCTAATATCAGTTGGAGAACCTTTGGAAAACCACCTGGGAGTACTAGACAGGTCAATTCATGATAAAATGCTGAGACCAATCAAATCCCCATAAACCAATACTTCATGAAACTGCATTTATTGGTTTAGATCACACAGAGTAAACTTTACCGACTAAATATACTCAACATTGTACAATGAAACTTTGTTAAATCCACCTAAGTGAATTATTTATATATTTTCACTTAAATTTGTTTGACTAATCGTAGACGGTGGATAGAAACTGTGTTACTATCGCAACTATCAAGTGTTCACTATATTCCAAGAAGTATTGAAGTTGTAACAGAAAACAGAATTATTTAATTGAATTTTAGATTTTCCTGTCGATTGACTGGACCGAAGTGCTCCTCGGTATCAGGTTGACAGGTTGTCGGCTTCGATGATGCCTGGGCATTTAATTAGAAGTTAATTGGTGGACTAGATGACTAGCAGTGGAATCCAGGAATCCCACCGAGCTTCTGTGGGAACATCATCACTCACTGGGGAATGCAGGTACATTCAGACGACGAGTCCCAAATGGGACGAAATGCGCATCCTGGATTCCATTGCTAGTCACCATCCACCAATTAAATTAGAAAATAGAATGTTCATATATAAATATGTATATATATATATATATATATATATGAGTGACAGGCATTTATAATTAATCCAAGAAGCAGAGCACACTAAGCAACTCATTTCAATGACTGATTACTAAGGAATACTGAAGAGCTTCTTCAACCCAGTGTGTAGGGTACTCCAGTAGGGTAAACTCATGACTCTATCAGGGAACAAATCCACAGGAATTTAAAAACTCATAAGACCAAATGTTTGTCAATTGGTCATATAGAACTATCGACAAACACTGTCGTCAATTTGCATCCGCCTCATTATGATATAATAAACTTCAGGGCACCTTTGTTCTCAATGATTCTTTCACTTATGTCGACTGAGGAAGAAATTTTTACTGGAATAACTGTTATGAACAAAGCAGTATGGTTAAAAGACTATACAACCAGAAGAATAAATTATCAAACCAGAATTAAATAATAGGCTGTTTATTAGATGTATCACACACACAGTGAAACAGTATTGCTATTTACTGGATGACGTTTCGAACAAAATTTATCGCTGTTCATAATCATACCAATCAATTATAATCATACGACTTCGAAACTTGAGTTTTATAGTTTTCTTTGTCCTCTCCTATTTGTCGTCGTTGGAGTAGTAGAATTTTCCAGATATCTGGATAGACAGGTATTGAATCATTCCTATTACAGGCACGTATTTTCAGTTGATTCGATAAACAAAGCTTCCGCTGTCATCAATCTCTCCCTCCACCCTGTTATATCAGTTAGATTTAAAAACTGTCATGTTATTCCATCATCCTATTGTATGGTTGTGTGTAATGGCATGTAGCGAGTGCCATTGCTGAACTATTCTCTAGATTTCTTATCTTATTTGGGTCAACTAATCTAGAATTTGCTAGATTTTTATGTTCGGCTAGTCTGACTGCCCCCGATCTACTACTTTGACTTATGTATTTGACCTGACAATCACTGAGGCCCCACTGTCAGTATCCTTTAACCGACAAAGCTTGTTTCTAATAGCGTAAGTGGATAGTTTGAATGCCAGCCACTTTTATTCCTGCCTTCCTTGTTAAGAATTCTACGTAAGGTGGTTTCCGAGGTTCATTCCTTGTATGGAATTACTACTGATGATTTAGATGCCTTATTGTTAGTGTTGTCTCGCGCATCATCATTGTCAAATAGGAGAGAACCTAGAAAATTATAAAACTCAAGTTTTGTAGTCTTGTGATCATAATTGATATGACTGTGAACAACAATAGATTATGTTCGAAACCTTGTCATCCAGTAAATAATAATACTGTTCCCTCACTGTGTGATACATCAAATAAACAAAATAATATGCAATTACTTCCTACCACATTGCACAAGTGTTACACATATATCAAACCAGAATATTCTATCTATGACCACATAACTTAGTGTTTTTAATCGGTACTGGGAATTTCTTCAGATAATCATTAATCACTTCTTTGGATCGTATTTTCAATTCCCTTTAAGTTTTAAAATAAGGTCAAAAATGACAACAATTAGTGGTGGGAAATTCAATCGATGGCTTTTTGATTCCTTCATATAAAAAACTAATATCAAGGGGATAAAAGTTCAAATTATGAATTATGATATACATATAGGGATTACTGGTCTAAAAGCCTTTCGAATCAACCTGTTTTGAAATAAAAAAAGAATTGAAATTACATATTGACCCTATTCTTTGA